TGTGGCACTTCTTTTTTCATATTTTTTACACGAACAGAGGTGCGTCTGTTGGTGAAATTTATCCATTATTTAAAACAAATCGAGTATTATTGCAATCTCTATCGACTTTCGTAATCCTACATATCCCAATAACAAAGACATCAAACAACAACATTTAATTTAAAGATAAACCATTACTCAGTTTTTATGTCGTCCTACCGTGGTATTTCATTTCCCGATACGGTTTTTGGTGCAAAAACATTTGTAGAAACATCATGTGTTCTGCAGATAAATAACACTTTTTTAACCGTCGCTTTCAGCTGTGTCAAACTACCGGGTTGTTATGTTTGTCTAGAATAAGACCGACTGATTCACTGATGGCAGTACCTGACAACCTTCTTTAAATTTCATTGCCTTTCATTCATATACATATGAGTAGCGTCAACTAGACTTTAAAGTGTAATAAATCTTCTAGGGACGGTGACGGTGAGTCATGCTTAAATCAATTAAAAAGTTACGTCTATCAATTTCCGCCTCAGCTCGTCTGGGAGCCTACTAACCTGCACTAACCAACGATCAAACTACACCCCGCACTTGCTTAGCAAAATCAGTTCAACGACCGAAAAGTGTGGCAAACATTTGAAATAGTCCTGCAAAAACCAAAGTATTTGTGCCTCTTAAAGCAGTTTTACTTGAATTGGAATTCTGCCAACTTGTGGCTCTCAGTAAATTCATATTGTTATTTCGGCTTCCTGATATCCGGTAATAAGTGCTTCTTCTTCATAAAGTGCTAAGGTTTATAAACTTTGGATGTTGAAGGAACCAGCCATCTGGTATAAGTCTTCTCAATAGATCTACTTTGTCTGAAGTAATGATGACTTCTTATTTTTTAATATGGTAGTGAATTATGCTCTTGTTTATCTTTCTTTGCGTACAAGAACTTCCTGAATTGTAATGAAATTTTTGCTTTTAAAGTGTGTTGACAGGATTGTAATTTTGCACTTACCGCATAAAATGTTACCAGATTAACGAAAAATGAGATTTTTTAATGTTAATGACTAGGGCCAATAATGTCCTCGTCAGCTATTTGTGCTATGTTCAGTTGGTAGAAATGCTTAAATGCAGTCGAAAAGAATGAAAAATTAGCAGTATGCCAAAATGATTAAGCTGGTAAACTTAGATTTACATTTATATTTTACATTGGACGCGGAAGAATTTAACTTTTCTTTTGTTCAGAAAAAGTTTTCAGCTAAGTGACTTTCGTTAGCTTTTTATTTTTTTATAGTAATATATTTTCCTGTTACAGATACTTTCAATAAGGCTTTAAATTTAGAGAGCAAAGACTGAGGTGCAGAAAACAAGAATACGATGAATCAGCAGGATAAATCGAATGGACGTGCGTTCCCCAAAACTGGTGTCTACGTTACACCACCAAAGAAGTATGGCGTACCAGGCAATATGTATGTTTTTATGTATTATCACTTTTTCTGATACATACTGTGCTTTTAGTGCCGCATATTTTTTTTTATATTTTTTTATTTTCCCTAAAGTTACTCTAAAAAATGTATTTTTTATAGCTTTTTGTCACCTGTTGGAGGCTTTTGTAGTTCAATAGATCCGCTGATGAAATATTTTCTTTTTTCCAGGCTTGCCAATTCCATTTTGCTGAGTGGGTTCCTATGCGTTATGCTTTATAGGGCCTATCATGGTGTGTTCTTTCGTATATTTTTTTATTTTTATTCTCAGCCATATATGTTTTTTATTGGTTTGGATTGAAGAAAATACGGTTTGCGGTGTATATATAGTCTTTTTATTTATGATTTATTTTTATTTTTATTTTTACTTTTTATTTCTTCTATTTATTTATTTATTCCTCTATTTCTTTTGAGGGACCAACGTGTTCTACGGTAGGGTTTATTTTTTAACATCTCTCTTTTCCTAATTTTCGTGAACTTAGAACGTGGTTCCTAGAAAAAAGTCTTTTTAACTTTATAAATACATAGATCCATTTTGGAATTTGCAAAAGTGTCAGTTGATTGCAGGAGGACGGATGAAGGAAGATTTACTGCCAAGATGGGCTGAAGAAAAATTGGACTCATTTTTAGCTTCATGGCAAACGAAGCCAGGACAAGAACAGAAATGAAAATTGCACTGTGTATCTAACTGTAGTAGCTATCTGTTATGCCGAGACTGTAGAGATGTAAATTATAGTTGTACAATAAAACGTTTTTACATTTCGTATTTCTTGCAGAAATTAAAGATTTTTGGGAGTAAGCGGATGACATGAATGCACA